TGAGCCACAGCACCACTTCCGGCTTTTTTTTCTGCTTATGTGGTGCTGAGGAATCGAACCCAGGGCCTCACGCATGCAAGGCAAGCGTTCTATCACTGAGCCACCTTCCCAGCCCCGTTTTTTTGGGGCTTTTTGTTTTTATCAGTCCTGGGGCTTGACCTCTGGCCCTGGGCACTGTCTCAGAGCTTATTTTGTTAAAAGCGAGCACTCTACCATGTCAGCCACAGCACAACTTCCAGCTTTTTTGAGCAGTTTATTGGAGGTAAGAGTCTCATGAAGTTTCCTGCCTAGGCTGACTTCAAATTGTGATCCCCAGATCTCAGCCTCCTAAGTAGCTAGGATTATAGGCATGAGCTACCAGCACCCAACTATTTTTATTTTTTTAAGTAATTTTTTTTTTCTTTTTAGGTTCAAGACTGGGACTCAAACTCAGTACCTACGGATTTTGCTCACTGGCTAGTGTGCTACTAAGTCACTCCTCCAAGCTCTTAATTATTTTTTTTTCAATCGTGGGGCTTGAACTCTGGGCCTGGGCTCTGTCCCTCAAAATTCAGCTCAAGGTGAGTGCTCTACTACTTGAGCCACAGTGCCACTTCTGGTTTTCTGGTGGCTTACTGAAGATAAGAGTCTCAAGGACTTTCTTGCTCAGGCTGGCCTGAGATCCTCAGATCTCAGCCCCCGGAGTAGCTAGGATTACAGGCATGAGCCACCAGCACCTGGCTCCTTAATTTTTTTAACCTAACTATTTTACATTATTCTAAAGCTGAACAAAATATACCAACAGCAGTTCCCTAATACTGCACAACAGGCAGCCAGGACACGAACCATTGAGAGAAAGGAAGTAGAAAGATGAGCTTGATGATTATCTTAATTTACAGGTCACAATCCAACAAGGGAAGCCCCAAATAAGCCTGGGATCTTGCCAAGTCAAAAAACAAACAAACAAGCAAAACATAGTTCTGAGTTAAGAGAACCCAGGACACTGGAATTTTTTTTCTTTTTTTTTGGTTAGTCATGGGGCTTGAACTCTGGGGCTGGGTGAAGTCTATGAGCTCTTCAAGCTCTACCACTTGAATCATAGCACCACTTCTGATTTTCTGGTAGTTAATTGGAGATAAGAGTCTCATGGACTTTTCTGCCTGGGCTGGCTTTGAACTGTGACCCTCAGATCTCAACCTCCTGAGTAGCTAGGATTACAGGTATGAGCCACTAGCACCTAGCTGCCAGCATGAATTTTTCCAGTGCTAGGGATTGAACCTAAGGCCTCATGCAAGTTATAAAAGCATTTTACCACTGAGGTATATCTCTAGCTATCTATCAGGATTTACAAAAGACTGAAGCCCAGTGATTCATCTATGTCTCTGACTCAAAGGGAAATAAACACCGGAGTAACAAAATGTGTTATCTCTTACCACCTGCTCCTTCCAAGATGCCCCGGACTACTGCTTGCACACCATTGGGTCTCATTAACCTTTCAGAGAGCAGCTGCCCACACAGACGCCGAAGCCAGGCTGGGGCCCGACACCTGAGCTGCATCTTCACATCTGTGCAGGGCTGCTAAAAGGAAACAAAGACTGAATTTAGTGGCAATGACACAGATATGACCTAAAAACACTTTTTAAAAATACTGAATCATATTGATGATTAGCTATGTATGATATAGACTTTAAAAGAGCAACATTTTGGGGCTGGGGATGTAGCTCAGTGGTAGTGCATGTACTTAGCATGTGCAGGGCCACGTTCCATCCCCAGCATCAGCAATATCTTTCCTTTAAAAATCAAATAGGGTCTACCAGGCACCAGTGGCTCACGCCTATAATCTAGCTACTCAGAAGGCTGAGATCTGAGGATCTTGACTCAAAGCCAGCCTGGGCAGGAAAGTCCATGAGACTCTTATCTCCAATAAACCACTCAGAAAACCAGAAGTGGCACTATGGCTCAAGTGGTAGAGTTCTTGCCTTGAGCTGAAGAGCTGAGGGACAGCACCCAGGCCCAGAGTTAAGCCCCACGACCGACAAAAAAAATCAAATAGGGTAAGGTACGTTGTTCAAGTGGTCAAGCACCTGCCTAGCAAGTGAGGCCCTGACTTGACTCCAGTACTATGCTCCCCTACCAAAAAACAAAACAAAACATAAAAACCATCTCTCATGCAGGCGTAGTAGAATATGTGAGTGGGCCAAGCATTCTGAAGACAGAGGAAGGAGGATCACAAGTTGGGAGTCCAACCTGGGCTACATAATGAAAGGCCACTTCCAGCTTTTTCTGTGATTAATTGGAGATAAGAGTCTCATAGACTTTCTTTCCCAGGCTGGCTTCGAACTACGATCTTCAGATCTCAGCCTCCTGAGCAGCTAGTAGTACAGATTTGAGTCACTGGCACCTGTGGAAGTCTTTTAAATTATTGTTTTATAAATACCATCTAACTTGTGGGTGGGGACAGGAGGGAAAAACTGGAGAGAATAAAGGCAGGGTTAATATTGTCCAAAAAGAAATGCACTTATTAACTGACTTATAAAACCGCAACCCCCCCTGTACATCACCTTAATAACATTTTTTAATTAAATAAATAATGACTGTCAACTAAAAGATGAAGTAATATTTGATCAGTTAGTTAAATAGGGAAGTAAAGGCATCATATTTCCAGAAGAAAAAAGGTCACTGCCAATCCCCCACAAGAGTTCAAGGCCTGAGTACCTGAAGAGGGCCTCCCTGGAGGACAAGTAATTCCCGGACCACTAATGGTTGATACACTTGATCCAACATGTCTCTCAAGGCCCTCCGAGACAAGGCTCTTTCCTCTTCTGTTAAAACCTAAAAGAAATACAATTTGGCTTTAATGGAACAGAAACCAGGCAGGGACTAAATGCAATGTTTGACAAGAGCTAACATAGGTAGGGAAGGAATGAGTTATACTGATATGAGCGGCAATTACTCTCTGATAAGCCCAAGAGGATCTGGCATAAATACTTCCCATACATTTTCCTTTATTTTTTAAAATCACCTACCAAATCAAGTATATGATTTATATCTATATCTGTATCTATATATATGAGAAAATAGGCAGGATGCCCAGTGGCTCATGCTTGTAATCCTACTCAGTAGGCTGAGTTCTGAGGATCATGGTTCAAAGCCAGCCTGGACAGGAAAGTCCATAAGATTCTTATTACCAACGAAGCACCAAAAAAGCCAGAAGTGAAACTATGGCTGAAGTGGTAGAATGCCAGTCTTGAGCGCACCCAGGTCCTGAGTTCAAGACCCAGGACACACACACACACACACACACACACACACACACACACACACACACACACACACACACACGGAGAGGGGGACAAACGGAGAGGGAGAGAGGGAGAGAGGAGATTAGCGCACACAGACACACAGACACACACACACACACACACACACACATACACGGAGAGGGGGACAAATGGAGAGGGAGAGAGGGAGAGAAGGAAACAGGGAGAGAGGGGGAGAGAGAGAGAGAGAGGAGATTAGCAACCCACATAAAACCTCCAGTCCCCACACACAATATTCATTTACCCACTGGATATACCTCAGCATTCAATAGGATTTCTAGATCTTTCAATCAGCTTGTTTCCCATGAAGCAAGAGCTGTCATTTATAACAATCACACACAAATATACACACACTTTCTCCCTCTCTTTCTTCCTCCCTTCCCCTTCCCTTCTTTCAACTGCTCAATGAATGTTTACCTCTTCCTCAGGGGTTGGTGATTTTCTTTTGGTTGGGCAGAATCCCAGCTGGCACAGACCTGCAGCTATGTCCCCAAAGTGGCGGCAGAAAACCAAGCTCCCCAGGGATGCATGCTGAGCAATGTCTAGGAGGACCCTGCAGCTGGTGTACAGTCTCCGGGCTGTGTGGGGGGAAGCATCGGGACACACCACATCTTGAACCACTGCACCAAACTCAGTCCTACATCTCAAAGGCATCCCAACACCAGGGATGAGATAGGGGCAGACACCCAAGGTGACCACAAATTGCAAAGCAGACTGGACGATCTTCTGCTGGGAGATGCTAAGTGTATCGGGGCTCAGGGCAGGGGCAGCTTCTGCAGTCCGAGGATTGGGTTTACCAGGGTTGAAATCAGCTGCAAGGCGGATCATGGTTTCCTTCAAGCACAGCAGCAACAACAAGGTCTGAGCAGTAAAACTCCAAGTGATGTCCTCAGAAGTTTGTGTCCACTCTGCCTTACTGGCCACCTCATCTCTTAGAAGCTTCAGTTTTGTCCACTGACTGCCCATCAGAAACTTGTTGTCCAAGGTAGATAGATTAGATTTGAAAGCAGCCAACAAGACATCGTGTTTTGTGATCTGCAGTGAACTTGAGCCTGATCCTTTAGAAAAAGAAAGAAAGAAAGAGAGAGAGAGAGATCACATACAAGGAAAACAAGCCATACTTCCCTCTATGTGAAATTTCTGGCCCACTCCAGCCAGGGCACTAGAGGAAAGAGAATGAAAAATAGAGACTTTCAGACTTTTAGAGAGGTAAAGCTTTTTCTTTCTTTTTTTTTTAAATAGCACTGGAGATTGAATTCAGGATCCCACTAATGATACACAAATATTCTACTACTGAATCACATCTCTAAGAGAGCCCAAAAACTTAAAAAAAAAAAAAAAACAACAACTCTGTGAAGTGGAGGTGTGGCTCAAGTGGTTGAGTGTCATCCTTGAGGGAAAAAGTCAAGTAAGATCACAAAACGCTGAGTTCAAGCCTGGTACTGGTGTGTGTGTGTGTGTGTGCACACACGCACACATACCCCACAAAACCTTTATGATACTATAATAGTATCATATAGAGACCCTACGTGAATTTCTCTAAACTCATTGAACTGTTGACCACCAAGAATGAACTCTAACATAAACTATGGATTTAAGTTAATAATAATGTATTCCAGGAGATGTGACTCAAGTGGTAGAGTGCCTGCCTAGCAAGCAGAAAGCCCTGTGTTCACTACTGATAATCACAATAATAATAAAATGTATAAATGTTGGCTCATCAACTGTTATAATGCATCACACTAACATAAGGTATTAATAATAGGGAAAATGGGATTAGGGTAGAAAAGGGAATATAGGAGAACTCTGTACTTTCTTTTTTTTATAAGTCAAAAGATGCAAGTTGGACATGGTAATGCATACCTCTAATCTCGAAGCTGAGGCAAGAATTTTTTAAAATCTTTTTTTTCTTTATTTTTATTTTCTTTATTTATTTTGCCAATCCTGGGGCTTATACTCAGGGCCTGGGCACTGTCCTTGAGCTTCTTTTGCTCAAGGCTAGCACTGTACCATTTTGAGTCACAGTACCACTTCCAGCTTTTTCTGTTTATGTGGTACTAAGGAATCAAACTCAAGGTTTCAGGCATGCTAGGCAAGCAGTCTACTACTAAACCACAATCCCAGCCCAGCCTGGTCTACATGATGATGCTCTATCTTAAACCACAATCCCAGCCCAGCCTGGTCTACATGATGATGCTCTATCTTAAGAACAATAACAAGCTGGGTGCCAGTGGCTCAGGCCTGTAATCCTAGCTACTCAGAAGGCTGAGATCTGAAGATCACAGTTCAAAGCCAGCCTTGGGCAGGAAAGTCTGTGAGACTCTGATCTCCAATAAACCACCAGAAAAATGGAACTTGTGGCTCAAGTGGTAGAGTACTAGTTTTGAGTTGAAGAGCTCAGGGACCTCACCCATGCCACAAGCCCCATGACGACAAAAACAAAAAACAACCAATAACAAATAGTGATTCCTAGGTCCTAGGATCATGGGTAGTTTTAGGATTTTTGCCTAATTATATATTAAGATTTTTGGGGTTTTTTGTTTTTTGTCAGTCATGGGGCTTGAACTCTGGGCCTGGGCGCTGTCCCTCAGCTCTTCAGCTCAAGGCTAATGTTCTACCACTTGGGCCAGAGCGCCACTTCCGGTTTTCTGGTAGCTTATTGGAGATAAGAGTCTCACGGACTTTCCTGCCTGGCTGGCTTTGAATTATAATCCTCAGATCTCTTCGGAGTAGCTAGGATTACAGGCGTGAGCCATTGGCGCCGGCTTATTTTAATATTTTTTGTTGTTTTGTTTTGTTTCTTTAGGATTTTTTTTCCTGCAGTGAATACGATTCCTTATATACTTAAAAAAAGTTACTTAAGGTTATAGAACTGCATATTATACATAAAATAAAAAGGAAAAACAATGTTGCCAGAATGCTAGTAGTGGCAACCTCTGGTAAAAAGTTTAAAGTACTTTTAATTTTGTTCTTTTGGTTTCTTTATAATTTTCTAATCTTTGCTATAGAGAACATTAAAAGTTCTATACAAAGAAAAAAGAAACAGCATTGTAATTTTTTTTTTTTTGGGTCCGGTCGTGGGGCCTAAACTCTGGGCCTGGGCGCTGTCCCTCAGCTCTTCAGCTCAAGGCTAGCGCTCTACCACTTGAGCCACAGCGCCACCCAGCTTTTTTCTTTTTGCTTATGTAGTGCCGAGGAATCGAACCCAGGGCCTCTGGCATGCAAGGCAAGCACTCTAACCCTGAGCTACCTTCCCAGCCCCCAGCATTGTAATTTTAAAATAATTAGAACCAAGAGCAGTTGACTCACATCTATAATCCCAGCTACTCAGAAGGCTGAGATTTTAGGATTGCAGTTCAAAACCAGCCCAAGGAGGAAAGTCCATGAGACTCTTATCTCCAATTAACTACCAAAAAAAAAAAAAAAAAGCCCAAAGTAAAGCTATGGCTCAAATGGTAGAAACTAACCTTGAGCAAAAAAGCTCAGGGAGAGTGCCTGGGAACACACATAAACACACACACAAAACCAAAATCAAAAGAAAATGAAGGGCTGGGAAGGTGGCTCAGTGGTAGAATGCTTGTCTTGCATGCATGAGGCCCTGGGTTCAATTCCTCAGCACCACATAAGCAGAAAAAGCCGGAAGTAGAGCTGTGGCTTAAGTGGTAGAACGCTAGCCTTGAGTTGAAGAGCTGAGGGACAGCACCCAGGCCCAGAGTTCAGACACCAGACCGACCAAAAAAAAAGGAAAGGGAAGGAAGAAGAAAGTGAATTGTGCAACACTTCTCAGCTGTCTAGAGCCAAGTATTCTGACCTGTAAGCATTAAAAGCTGCAAAAACTCACCTAAATAGAGCATGGATGCTCTCATAGTTTGCAGTTCTACCATTAAGATCACTAATCAATCTCTATGCACCACATCTTGTGAATGCAAACTCAATGAACTCAAGCATGGGACAGAAGAGATGAAAAACAAAAGCTCACAGCTTTCCCCAATCTCCTTAATAGCCTTTCTGTTCTTAATTCCCTCTACTGGTGATGAAAAGAAATCTCTGGTACTTGAAAATGATGGCATTTCTGTAAAACATGTCTTTCTCCATTCACCCTCGGTTTTTTTCTTTCTTTATTCCTTTCTTTTCTTTCCTTCCTTCTTCCTTTCTTTTCTTCTTCTTCTTTTTTTTTTTTGAGACAAGGTCTTACTATATAGCTGGGAATAGCCTGGAATTTGAGATCCTCTTGCCTCAGCCTTTCCAGTGCTAGATTTACAGGAATGCATGCACAATGCATGGCACTAAAACAGCATTGAAGTGTGATATAAGTTTAACTCCAAGGCTCTAGCTTGTAACATGTCAGTGTCTGGATTCAACCAAGGCAACTGAGCTCCAAAACCCAGCTGTGTCATTACATTCAACTACTCACACTCAAAAGCTTCATCTCTGCTCACCTCAAACCATCCCTATTATACTTAGGGAAAAGTCATAAATGTTGATGCTCTAACAAATTTAAAGTGTCATGACTTACGTGGTACTCTTTCTTTTAGATATACAGGGCTTTTGAACTCAGAGCCTTGTGCTTACTAGAATGACATTCTACCACTCAAGCCACTCCATCAGCCTGGCTTTTTGCTGGTAATTTTGGAAATGGGAGTCTAGAGAACTTTTGTACTTATCCTGGCCTCAAACCACAATCCTCCAGATATCAACCTCCTACGTAGCTAGGAGTACAAGCATGAGCCAACAACCCCTAGCTATGTGATACTTTTCATTAAGTTCAAAATGTGGGGCCAGGAACAGTGGCTCAGATCTGTAGTTCTGGAGAGGTTGAGGCAAGACAGTTACTTCAGCCCAGGAACTGAAGGCCAATCTAGGCAACAAAGGTGTGTCACAGCTTCATGATTTACAAGCTGTCAGCATTCTCAGCCCCTTCTCCCTATAAGTAAAATGTAATGACACATCAGTGAATCTCTATTTAGTATAGCTTTTTAAGAGAACATTCATATAGAGATGGCCTCCATTTTTTATAAACAAAACTTCACTACCAGCCTTTGAATTCGGCTTAACACACTATTTAAAAGAAAAAGAAAAAAGGAGAGAGGAATGAAGGAAAGAAGGAGAAAAGGAGGTGGAGGATCACTTAAGCTCCAGAGTTTGAACATCCTGGGGAACACTGGAGACCTGTCTCAACTAAGTATGCACATGTGCATGTGCGTGCGTGCGTGCAGATGTGTGCACGCGTGCGCGCGCACGTACACACACACGCACACACTTCATGGCTGGAATATAGCCTAGCATGTACAAGGTACTGGATTTAACCCTCCACATTGCAGGAAAAAAAAAAAAGGAATGTTGATACCTATAATCCAGCACTTGAAAGGCTGAGTTATCTTGATTTTGAGAACATCATGGACTACATAGTAAAATCAAGACATACAGGGCTATATAGCAAGACACTATTTCAATGCAAAACAAAAAAAAAGTGTACTTTGTATTTTGACTTGTTTTTGTTTATGCCAGTCCTGGGACTTGAACTCAGGGCCTGAGTGCTATTCCCACTCTACTTCAGCCACAGATCTATTTTTAGAGTGAGTGAGTGTGTGTGTTTGTGTATTTGGAGATAGAGTCCACAGCTGGGCTGGGAATGTGGCTTAGTGGTAAAGTGCTTTTCTAGCATGCATGAAGCCCTGAGTTCGATTCCTCAGTACTGCATAGACCAAAAAAGGCAGAAGTGGCACTATAGCTCAAGTCGTAGAATGCTAGCCTTGAGCAAAAGAAACTCAGGAACAGTGCCCAGGCATTGAGTTCAAGCCCCAAGTCTGGGGGGAAAAAAAAAAGACTCAGGGACAACACCAGGTCCTGAGTTCAAGCCCGGCAGCCTGCCCCCCCCCAAAAAATAAAAAAATACATAAAGTCTTTCCTACTCCAGTTGGCTTCAAACCATGATCCTCAAGTCTCAGCCTCCTGAGTAGCTAGGATGACAGGCATGAGCCACTGACAAACAGCACATTTTGACTCTTCATTGGTGCAATGTAGTCTAGCTCTGCCACTAACTAGTTTTCATTGAGCCATTTCCATTATATGTCCACCTGAGCCTTAGTCCCTTCATTTGTAATGTGGAATATAAAGTCTATCTAACTGGACTGTTGTGAGGGCTAAATTATATCCATATTAACAGTGTACCATGGAGACTGAAACTAAGCACTCATTCACTATTAACTTTAAACCACTCCCAAGGTCCCTTCAGATGCCAAATTGGGAAGATCTTGTCAACTCCACACAAAAGATCAAAGGTGACAGTAAGGCCCTGCTCAAGACTCTCCGCTAACTGTCCCTTGCTTCCTTCTTCCAGACCTCCGGCGGTGGGTACTGCTCTCAGACATCCACGTTACTCTAGCGCCGCCACGCGGCGGGGAGCTCGCATTACACTTCGGGGCGCCTCGCCCCGTTTGCAGCCTATTCCGGGCGGTCCCCGGCTCCCAGCGCGCCGAGCACCTGGAAGCAGACAGAGAAGCACACAGAGAAGCGCTCGGGGCTACCGTATAAGGATCCAGCAGGCCCCATCTTCCCTGGAGCACTGGACAAGGCCCAAATCTCCCGGCCCCGGGGAGAAGCGTCCGCAGAGGGCCTGCGGGGCGCACGCCGTGAGGGAGCTGGGGCCACCCCCGGGAGACCGGCGGCGGCCCGGAGAGGCCCAGGTCCAGCCCGGCACCGAGATGCGTCTTCTCACCTCCCGGGCTCAGCAGCAGCTTTAAAGCTTCCAGAATCTCCTCCAGAGCGCACGCCTCCACAGCGCCTCGGCCCACCACAGCGTCTGCCGGAGCGGCCATGACTGGCGTGGAACCTGCCGCTGGCGACCCCTTCAGGCGTCTCAGCGCACACGCGCCGCCGCCATGTTGAGTGTGGCCGGAAGAGCGCGACGCGCGAGGGGCGGGGCCTACGGCGTGGGTGGGGAAATCTTAGTCCGCCCCGCCCCCTTTGCTTAATCTCATTTCCTCTGCGAGTACTTAGAGTTTCAAGAAGTCAGAAGGGTGAATTGCCGTGTAAAGGAGAAGGATTACTAGGTGGGGTAATCCCGGAAAGAACCAGGGGGATCAGGAGTTCGAGGCCAGCCTGGACTATACCCCCCCCAAAAAAAAATGCCTGGCACCTGTGGCTCACGCCTGTAATCCTAGTTATTCAGGAGGCTGCGATCTGAGCATCACGGTTCAAAGCCAGCCCGGGCAGGAAAGGCCGTGAGACTCTTATCTCCAAATAAAACCACCAGAGAACCGGAAGTGGCGCTGTGGCTCAAGTGGTAGAGTGCTAGCCTTGAGCCAAAAAAGATCAGGGACAGCGCCCAGGCCCTGAGTTCAAGCCCCAGATCTGGAAGAAAGAAAAAAAACCACCGAGGTAAAGATGCATGTACTTCTACTGAAGTTTGGATATCCAACATACATATTGTCAATCTGTCCATCTGTCCCTCTCTTCCTCTCTGGGCGCTTCAGGCTGTGTCCCCTGAATATCCTTGTGTCTGAAGAAGGAAACATCCTTAGGCTTCCTCCAACCTAGCCACTCTATGGACTCTTACACATCTGTTTTGCTAGAAATCAGTATGGAAGCTTGGGGAGTTCTGGTTTATCAGAAGTGAAGTCTGGAGGCTTCACTTCCTCCTCAGTTTTCTAGGAGACACTTAGTATCATTAAGCATCCATTATATGCAACCCCAGTAGAGTTATCTGGGTGAGGTCTGGCCCTCTGCTAAGTGCCATCACACAGAGGGGGCTGTATTCAGAGAGTGCATCTGTTTAATTGATTTAAAGTTGTCCAACAAGGAGCCCATTATTGGACTGGAAGGACAACAGCTGAGATAGTCATCAAAGCAGGCTGGGGGTATTTGCTTTTCCCAGAACTAACAAGACTAATAGCATTCAATGATTGTCAATAGCTGTGTCATAGAACAGATCCCAGCCAAACTGTGTTTTTGTTGTATTGTGTTTTGTTGGGTTTTTGTTTTGTTTTGTTTTGTTTTTTGTCAGTTGTGGGGCTTGAACTCTGAGCCTGGGCACTGTCCCTGAGCTCTTCAGCTCAAGGTGAGCACTCTACTTCTCTTGAGCCACTGTGCCACTTCCAGTTTTCTGGTGGTTAATTGGAGAAAAGAGGCTCATGGACTTTCCTGCCCCGGCTGGCTTTGAACCACAGTCCTCAGATTTCAGCCTCCTGAATAGCTAGGATTACAGGTGTGAGCCACCAGCACCCAGATAAATTTTTTTTTAATTTTTTTTGAACATTTTCAAAAGCCACGTGTAATAACCAGTGTTTGCACTCCATTTTCCATAATTGGCTTCTACTTGTTTCTTATTGGGTTGGGTTTGGGGGAATTTTGTTTTGCATGCTAAGGCTTGAACCCAGGACCTCGCAAATGCTACCCAGGTGCTCTGCCCACTGAGCTACACTCCCATTGTGCTTTCCCAGTATCTAAAATACAGGGGAATACTACCTCACCCATGCTGAGATGGAGTCTTACAAGCTTCTATGCTCAGGCTGCCTTCAAACTGCAATCTCCACCTCCCAGTTAGCTAGGATTACAGGCTTGAGCCACACCCATCTGCTTTTCCTATTTTCTTCTAAGTGTTTACTTCCTTAAGTCTTTGATCCACGTTGAATACTTTTTGTTTGTGGTAAACTGAAGGAAGGTCATCTTGGGTTATCATCATCGAACTTTTTTGCCAAGTACCTTTTCACCACTACATGCTATGGGCACCATTATCAAATACCATTTGGCCATACATGAGATTTATTTCTGGACTTCGACTTCTTTATCATCTGGAAGACAGAAGCTTGTATGTTTCCATCCCCAGCACTGCAAAACCCCAATCAAAACAAAAAAGTTTGGATGTTGCAGAGTTCTGAAGATGGAGAGCTGTTGGGACTACAGAACACAATGTGCATATACTTTATGACATTAGCTACAGAGTTTAAAAAAAAAAGTGGCTCAGACCTATAATCCTAACTCAGGAGGCTGAGACTTAGAGGAACAACATTTGGATCCAGCCCAACAGAAAAGTCTGAGGATCCATCTCTAATTAACTAGCAAAATGCTAGACTGGAGATGTGGCACAAGCATAGAGTACCAGGTATGAGTAAAAAGCCAAGCAAGAGTACAAGGCCTTGAGTTCAAATCCCAGTACCAGGACACAGCCATGCTGGAGGTGTGGCTCAAATGGTAGAGCCACCACTAAGTACGCATGAGGCCCTGCGTTCAAATCCTAGAAGTGCTAAAGGGCAGAAAAAAAAAGAGTTCAGTTGAGCTTGGTGTGGTGATACATACCTGTTATCCTAACCCTTGGGAGGCTGAAGCAGGAGGATCACAAGTTTGAGGCCAGCCTGGGCTACACAGTGAAGCCTTGAAAAAAGTAACACCTCTGTATATCACTTTCTCCTATCCCCTCACCCCCGCCCCATCCTGGAGCTTGAACCCAGGGGTCCTGAGCTAATTTTGCTCAAGGCTAGCATTTGAGCCACAGCACCACATCTGGCTTTTTCCATTTATGTGGTACTGAGGAATCAAACCCGGGCTTCATGCATGCTAGGCAAGTACTCTACCACTAAGCCACATTCCTAGCCCCTATATCATCTTTTTTTTTTCTTTTTGGTCGGTTGTGGGGCTTGAACTCTGGGCTTGGACGCTGTCCTTGCACTCTTCAGCTCAAGGCAAGTACTCTACCGTTTGAGCTACAGCACCACTTCCGGTTTTCTAGTGGTTTATTGGAGAGAGTCTCACAGACTTTCCTGCCTGGGCTGGCTTTGAACCGCGATCCTCAGATCTCAGCCTCCTGAGTAGCTAGGATTATAGGCATGAGCCACTGGCGCCCAGCTATATCATCTTTTTATAATAACCATAAACATGTTTTTAAAAGTTCAAATGATAAATTTTATATTTATCATAGTAAAACAAAATGATCAAAAAAATAAAAATAGCAGCACGGCCGAGAAGAGTTGAATGAGGAATGATCAGTATCAGCACTGTGACATTTTAAGCTAGATCACCCTTGAGGGACTGTGTATGCAGGGTAGTTTAGTGGCATCCTTGGGGTTGGCTTGACAATAGCAGAAGCTGCCAAACGTCCTCTGAACCATGAAGAACATTGTGATTCTACTTCTGCCCCTCAGCTCTCTATAATTTATTGGAGGCCACACAATAGAACCATGGGAACATTGTGATTCTACTTCTGCCCCTCAGCTCTCTATAATTTATTGGAGGCCACACAATAGAGCCTGAGTCACATGGCCTTTGCAGTCTCTCCCTGACTCCCTGACCCAAGCAGCATGACTGAAAGTTCCTCAGAAGCCATTTCTGCCTGAAGCGTCCTTCTCCACACCTCCTCTCCTTCACCTTCCTTACAGTTCCAGCGGAATCAAACAAGCTTGACAGTGATTTTAGGAAAATTCTTTAATAAAATTTATATTTTTAAAAAAATGCAACCTTTGGAACAGCTTTTCTTTTCCACTCCCCAAGAAAATACAAAATTATCCACACCTCCACACATATACACTCAAAAAACTACAGAGACATTCTCTACGCCACACTCCCTTAGATACAGTGGTAAGGGCAGAATTAGCAATGTGAGTCCCACAACTGATTGAAGGTATGATTTTTCCTTTCTTCCCCAGGTAAAGCAATTTCAACAAAATTCTGCAGTCGCTGTCAAAATCTGAAAATGTTCATTCTCAATTAAGAGAAAAGAATATTCAAACCTGTGCCCCCCCCGCCTTCTTCACAACCTCTAGGACAGTGTGTATGTATATGTATATGTGTGTGTGTGTGTATATATATATATATATATATGTCCTGTATTTCCAACACACACCTGGAATTTGGTGACCTGGGTATAGAGTGGCCAGGTTTTCTGCAAACACCATAAAAGCAGGCACTTGGGGATTCTAGGCTTCACGTACAAAAGGATCCAGGAGAAGAAACATTGTGCCAGAATTTTCAGGAAGGGAAGCCATTTGCCTCCATCAACCTCAGCACCAGTGACTAGATAGCAGCCACAGAGGCCCTGTCCCCACCCCCCAGCCCATCTTTTGCGTTTCCTGTCTTCCTTTGGCAGTGGCACAATGAACACTGTTGCTGAGTCTCAGAATACACCAATCTTGTGTCAGTGATAAAGACACATGAAAATTTCAGTGGTACCTGAAAACATACCGCCTTTTATGGCCCAGCCTCCTTGCATGGAAGCAAGGAAGCCTGTAGTGACACATTGTTAACACTGCCTTAGAAAAGACATTTCAAGTGAGTGCTGAGGACCTGGAAAACGACATTCATGAAGGGGCTAAGTACACACACCACCAGCCGAGATACAACCAGACAAAACATGGGCCGTTTACTCTAAAAGGACCCAGTCATTTCTGTGTCCAGAAACTCCCATCTGGGAAAGAAGGGACAGAATTCAGGAGTATAAATGGATAGCAGAACATAGAACACTAGTGCATACAATTTAAAGAGAAAATTGTTTTACCAGGCAGTACATGCCTGTAATCCCAGCACTAGAGAGGCAGAAGCAAGAGGATCATGAATCCAATCTAGACTGTGTGTAGAGAGAGGAGGAGGGTGAGGGAGGAGGAGAGAGAGAAATCCTGTCTAAAAGGAAAGGGAAAGAAGGAGGAAAGGGAGAAAAATGTATATACACAACAAAACAGAAGTTCCTTCCTTTGACACATGAAGGAAGCTCTCAAGATAATCTATAACTTGCTAGCAGAACCCCCTGAGGTTGGAATTCCTCTTTTGAAATAAAATTCAGGGAGCTTCGGGACATGATGACTTTGGAAAGAGTCAAAAAAAAAAAAAAAAAGACTCAAGGAATACGTGGGGAGTTTG